CGGATCGTGAAACCCCTTCCACCATCCGTCAACCAATTCACCATGCGCACCATCCGCACGGATCGTCAGTGTTTTGGGGTCTACCCTCTGGCACCATGTGCACCATTCACGGATCGTGAAACCGCTTCCACCATCCGTCAACCAATTCACCATGCGCACCATCTGCACGGATCGTCAGTGTTTTGGGGTCTACCCTCTGGCACCATGTGCACCATTCACGGATCATGAAACCACTTCCACCATCTGTCAACCAATTCACCATGCGCACCATCCGCACGGATCGTCAGTGTTTTGGTGTCTACCCTCTGGCACCATGTGCACCATTCACGGATCGTGAAACCTCTTCCATCATCCGTCAACCAATTCACCATGCGCACCATCCGCACGGATCGTCAGTGTTTTGGGGTCTACCCTCTGGCACCATGTGCACCATTCACGGATCGTGAAACCCCTTTCACCATCCGTCAACCAATTGACCATCTGCACAGATCGGCCATATGGTTTACGGATCGTGAAACCACTTTCACGATCCGTCAACCAATTCACCATCTGCGCAGATCGTCCATATAGTTTACGGATCGTGAAACCACTGTCACCATCCGTCAACCAATTCACCATCTGCACAGATCGTCCATATGGTTTACGGATCGTGAAACCACTTTCACCATCCGTCAACCAATTCACCATCTGCACAGATCGTCCATACGGTTTACGGATCGTGAAACCACTGTCACCATCAGTGAACCAATTCACCATCTGCACAATGCAGTTACCAAATCCACGATCCGTGTCGTATCGTGGTATTGGACCATACTCGAAAATCCACACGATGCCTACGCTGAATACATTGGGGAATTGCCTATTTTCTCACTAACGAAGGATATGGAAAAACTGTCACTTATAGACTACTAAGAGCCTATAATTAAGCTATTAAAACATTGTTATATTAACCCGAACAGAACACTTAAATACATAGAAACCTAGTGAGTGAGTGAAATGCTGTAAATACGCTAAATGAAATATATCAACATTGTTTTTCCTTGAGTTCAAACAGAACTACTTCTTCCTCGTCGTCTTCGGCTTGTCTCAGCATACTCATTTCCATGGGTATGGCGCGGATGACGCGGTGTCTTTGTCGCATGCTGCGAGTTAAAATGAACGCACACAATCCTAGCACGACCACAACCGGCAAGACAATCAACCACATTAAATTAACTCCACTTTTTTTCCATTATGCGCTCGTGTACCCAGTAGCGATGTTGTGTGCGCTTTATTTACTGTTTTTACATAATGCAACCGTGTGCTTACTAGCAGCGTTTTGCGTGTCCGTAGTGTCAGGTACGAGTGCTGACTTGGGGTCGTCTTTAGAGTACAATCGCTCGAGATTATCTCCAAAATGTCCGGGTGAATTGAGGTGGTGTTGCGGCGGTGTTCCGGTAGTCAGTGTTTTACTACATGCCGTTATGACCAGATGAGCATGTGCTCATGAGCAGTTATGAGCATCGTGCATCTGCTCATCGCAAAAATTGTACCCGACATGATTTTAAAAATCTAACAAAATCTGTGCATGGAGGGTTCACTCACCTGCCCCGTGGAGTGCGAGGGAATGGACATTTCACAATATTACTTTTGAACGACAACTACACTACGGGGGGGGGGGGGG